AGTTGGCTCATGAGTCAATTATGGGAGGACATCTAGGAGCAAAAAATATGGCAGACAGAATCATCAGCAACTTCCATTGGCCGGAAGTCATTGGGGATTTGACCAGATTCTGCAAATCATGTAACATCTGCCAAAGGACAGTATTTAGAGGGAAGGTAGCCAAGGTGTACTGGATGAGATGCCTCTCATACAAGAGTTGTTCAGCAGATTATATATTCTTGTTTGCATTCATTCTGACACTGCCATCCTTACATCGTTTTACAATTAGAAAATATTTTTTTCTTACTTGTTTTGTGATATTTTTTCACCTGACTGAAAGTTAGTGTATTCTATGAATGTGTGTGATAAAATTTAATTTTATGTGTATTGATTATTTTTTTACTCCTTCATAAATAATATAGTGGTTGACTCCCTGAAGACACCTGTTCTAATGTGTACAAAGCATTGAGTATTCTACATGTTGCAGTTATCTAATGTTCATCCATCATTAGCTGGTAATTCCTATTTCACCATGTAGAAGCCGTTAAAGACAGCACATTTTTCTTTTAAGGCATCATGAAATATATAATCACTGGCAGAATTCAGCTAAAATGAAAATTTTAAACTAAAATTCTCATAAGCCAGGATTAATATTAATGTTGTAAGTACAGTATATATATATATGCACTCAGAGTAAATACACCTTCTTCACTGTATGTGTGGAAAGTCATAAGCTCATGAGGAAGGATCTAGTGAGGACTATGTGATATGTTCTGTAGAACCCATCCACTTAACTAGGTCAGGTGTGTTGGATGCCTTTTTACCACAGAAACTCGCTTGACAGCTCATAGAGAAAATGGCACAGCACCTTCTCAACTTAGTTTTCAAACTCCTAGCTATCATCTTCAGTTGTGTCAACTGTTGGTAAACTAAGTATTAAATCTAGTTGTGCCAGCTGTCCTAAACTGTTAATTAGCAGCTATTATCCAATATCCTATGGGTATTTCTTAGTGAAACTGCTCAGTGATATAGAGAGTAAGGGTTGAAAAGCCATTTTGGTTGAACTGATCTCATGATCAACAAACTATACAATACCATTCAGTAGCTTAGAAAGCAAGGAATACTGCTTCCTTTTAAACATTACTTACTTGACCAAATGACTGTTCTAACTGCAGTAATTGATTTTAATCCCAGCTATATTTCTTGGGAGGCAGGTGGTGGCTGTTTGACCAATTGTCAAAGCTGTCTCTCACTTCTAGATTCAGTGCTACTGCTTCCTTAGATAGCCATTTCATCTTCTGGATTAAAATAGGATGAAACAGTGCTCTCAATCTTTTTTGACTCATTAATTTCTTCCTCTGATTCCTGGTCAAGTCAGTTCCTGAAGGTTCATTGATAACATACAGACATAGCTGTTCGACATGTATTGTGTGCTTTCATATGACTATTGACTACTGTATGTCATACATTATTAAATCTGCTTAGAGCACAAGATGAGGTCCCATCCAGTCTAAACTGTGCAGCTTCCATGCAGCTAGCACAAACCCAAACCACAGCCAGTCTCCATGGTGGTTCATTTGCTCCCTCACTGCCTTATCATATCTATTTTGTCACATGGTGATCTTTTCATGCACACACATATTAACTGATGCAAACCTTAGTCACATATTTTTGTGGATGTTGTGAAATATCTAGGTAGAGTACCATACATCATATCTGCTGAGAGAAAGACTTCCAACCCAAACATGCACATGTTTAGTGAACAGTCTGTTGTTCTCTGCTCATTGAGAAATCTTCCATCATGGTATATGATAAATGTTCATCCCAGTTGGGATTAACAAACTTAGCAAGTACACACTTGACAGTCTGTATTGCAGACTAGTTTGTTTCTGGCTATTCTGTACTCGACAAATGTATCAACCATAAATTGTACCAATATATAGCAACCAATTGATTAGCCTTGCCCTTTTTGTTCACTAGTCAGTGGCCATGAGTATATACAAGTAACCTATTTCTGTCTCCAAGAGTGGACCAGAAATATTCAGTCCTCCTTTTTTATGGGAGAAACAACAATCTTCTGCTAGATTTTGTTCTCGCTGATACACGCTGTACAATGTTGACATCAGCAAGGAATGTCTTGACTTGGTCCAATAAAACTGCTGTTGAATGTTAGCATAAGTATAATATGTTGATGCACTCCAGGCTTTACATAACACAAAGCACTGAGGACCATTATCTGTAACACAGGCTGAGAACCACGGTGTAGTGGTTGATCACAATGGTACAGAACTTCTTCGTGCACTCAACCCACTCATAACTACTCACACAAGTGCTATATTTACACATATCCATGTCATGTTCCTCAATCTGTGGGTCACAGTTTCGAATGCCTGTTACTGAACATACATTTTTAGCTATGAGGGCATTATAATGTGATGGTTAATCCCACTATTTGTCAATAAAAGAGTAGCTCAAGATTGGTTATGGGTGGTGTTAACTAGCTGCCCTCCCTCTAATTTATCACTGTAAATTAAGGATGTTTTGGTTGATTAGTCTCTTAAGCCTTCAAGGCAGTGTGGTATTTTCAATTAGAAAGCAAATAGGATGCTTACAAAAATATCAAACATAAGACAAAGTTTTTTTTCCAACAGAAGGATCAGTCTTTGGAATAGATTGCCTTCAGACATAGTAGACACAATGATATTGGGAGGGTTCATGGGAGAGCTTGATGAGTACTTGGAAAGTCATAGCTTGATATAGGAAAATTGGTGTTTGATGAAACAAATGGGAAGCTATGGTAGGCCAAGGGGCCCCTTGTTCACCCTCAAATGTCTACATTATGTATATTGATCTTTTAACCAATTTCATTATCATGGCACAATAAATATTATGTTTTCTTCTTTTCGTGTATTTTCAAACATTCAACAGTGTAAATGTTGACTTTGTTATCAGTGATGCATATACTTTTTTGTATTTTTACTATTTGGTAATTTTGAGATGTGAAACCACAAGCATGTATTACCTGTAACCTTTATTACATATACTTAATAATGAAGATTTTATTTTTTTTGAATTTTTTTTTTCATGGAGGTAATTTATGAATTTAATTTTTTCTGTGATAACAAACTGCATTTTGTTTGCTTGAAAGAAAGTCTGTTTTTGAAATTTATTGTAATGTTTTTTCTGACTCAATCCTTTTTTCTTTTCTGCATAATGCTGCTCTGCAGTCCATTGTACAATTGCAGAAAAACTCGTTACTTGTCTGTGTACTGTACTTTTAAATTACTGACTAATACTCTAGGAGTGGTGTGGCTCAATCTAAGTTCTTTATTGCGTCATTTTGTTTAAGTTGATCTGGTTTTAATATTTGTTGTTATTCTTTAACTTTCAATTGTGATATACATTGTAATAACATATAAAGGTGTACATATGTTTTTGTAGGTTGATTTTGAGATGCTTTATTAAGTTTTGTTAGTGATTTATGATTGTTATTTTTCATCTTCCATAAATTTAATTTTCTTTTCTTACTAATGATAACAATTACAAAATTACTACTTCTTAGTAATTTATAGTTTCTTTTAAAAGAGTACTTGAGAGAGGGTGAAAGATTTTAAAATTATTACTTTATGATTTGCTTCTGAGTAAATGTGGTAGCAATAATTTCTAATGACTAAAAGATAATGTGATAATCAGCTAAAAAAATATAAAATATTCCTTAGCCATTTTGTAGTCAGTTTATATGTTTAAATTATAAGTACTTCTTCACCTACTCAATTAAAATGTTCATGCTATCATAGGATTCCTACTTTAATGGTTTGATTGTTTGAGGTTGTACTATTAATGGTATTAGTTGTGAGGAAACAAATACCAAAAGCACAAAAACTAGTCAACTAGTTTGTTAGTCAAAATCAGAATGTGAGATTAATTGTTCTTTTGTACCCTTTACTTAATAAAAATGTTTATTTTGCAATTAAAGGAAAAGAAATAAGGAGTAAATTAATTTACAAATTTATGATTGAATTGCTTAGATGTATAATTAAAATATGTAAATACATTTGGAAGTATCAGTTACATGTGGTGAAACATGGAATCTTACTACCATTTAAATAGTAACATTTCATGAAATATTAGCATTGGATAAATTTAATATAACAACTCATATATGTTAAAAAAGTACGCATTGTTTAAGTTGATCTGGTTTTGATAATAGGTCCACCTAGAGTAAGTGATTTTTACAGAAGGGAAAAAAATTAACAGTAATATTTTTAAAGTATTTCTAGTATTTGAAATCTCAATCTATATTGTTCTTGCACGAAACAAAATCTAACTCTTAACCTCTACAAAGATCATATTTTTCAGCTAAAAAAGAAGAAAGAAAAAAGTTAATTAGTATTACACTGAACTTTACCTAGCATTATGAGGAACTTTTATTTTTCCTGAAATTACATATAAGTAAATTAATTGAGTTAATTAATAAAAATGGTTTTAATTTTAGGAGTGATTGTTCAGGGAATTTAATTTAATGACTCAAATATGTTAAAAAATACACAGGAAGTGCAGAACGAAATTGATCTTTAAAAATATGGTGAATTTTATGAAAAGTTTAATAAATTATTTAAATTTTAAAAAAATTGGATTTTTTGCACACCCATTTTATGTACTTAGTGTTTTACTTGTTCTTGATCATGTAACACAGATTGCATATTATCAGTATGACTGATGAAAGTGCATCAAGTAGCTTTAACATTTGTCCATTTTTTAAACATCGTCAATATATATCAGAATGATAATTTTGAAATTTTGATTAAGTTATATTTACAATGCTTTTAAGTATTTTTGGTTTTATATGTACAAGTTAATGCTGTGATTGATTTTTAGCGGATGAAACCAAGTTTTCGTTAAAATTACAAGTAGAGATGAGTTTGATTGAACACATATTTTGAGGAAGATTTACTTTTTCCTAAAATTATATATATAAATAAATTAATTGAGTTAATTGATAAAAATGCTTTTAATTTTAGGAGTGATTGTTCCAAGGAATTTTCGCTTGCTTGAAGAATTGGAACAGGGTCAGAAAGGTGTTGGAGATGGTACAATAAGCTGGGGATTAGAAGATGACAGTGATATGACCCTTACACATTGGACAGGCATGATAATAGGTCCACCTAGAGTAAGTGATTTTCACAGAAGGGAAAAAAAAATGAACAGTAATATTTTAAAAATAGTTCTAGTATTTTAAATCTCAATCTAAATTGTTCTTGCACAAAACAAAATCTAACTTTTAACTTCTCCAAAGATTACATTTTCCAGCTAAAAAAGAAGAAAAAAGTTAATGGATATTACACTAAACTTTACGTAACATTTTTCTGTAAGACATGCCCTTGAAATTAATGGAGAGCTTGTAAACTAAATATCTTGACATGTAACCTATGTGTGTGTATTCAAGATATGACTGTAAGAAATTGTTAACAAGAAGAAGTTGATAACATAGTCATTTTTTAGCTTTTATAAAAGAAAACTTACTTTTTAAATAAAACTAATGATTTAGAATGTTTAACATTCTAATGAGATTATAAGCAAATGATGATTCCAAAATGATATCCTTACCTCTCTGCACATAGTAGTTATTCCTTCATGTTTGCCTTTGAGATTTTGTGCATGCTACTAGCCTTGAGCTATCTCCTACATTAGACAAGTATTTTAACATGAATTGTGCTAGTGTGTGATGCAATCATCATGTAACAATAACTTTCCACCAATAGGAGGGCAACAAATCCTTCATGCATAGTAGATCCCCATAAGCACTTTAATTTTTTCCTCACCATTGTCAAGAACAGACAAATTTATTGAAATTTAAACTTTGTTCAATGTAGTGAGATTTGTGTTAACTTTTGTTCATTTTATTTTGTTTCAAATTTGATTTCAACTTACATTGTCTTTTCAAGTACTTCATTAAAAAAAATAGACCTGGAGAATTCCTTTGGCATCACTTCAGCTCCTAATGTATTCAACCAACTCATTGGAGCATTTGCTCACCATGTCCATAGCCTTGGACTTTATTTCTGTTATTACGTGGATGACTGGTTCTTCTTCGCCTCTTCTTGGGAGACCTCTTTCTTGACCACATCACTTCTCCAAGAAACTGCTCTTCTGGGTTGGCTGATCAAATCTTCCAAGCCATTCCTTGTTTTGACCTAATATTTGATCCACCTTGGAGTCTTTTTCATTTCTCGACTCAGCTGAGTTTAGCCCTTCCCCATTCCTCTGCAAGAAATGAGTCTTTAGTCCTCTTGAACCTTTGGTGTCCTAAACTTCCTGTGTGAAAGGTTCTATCTCTTTTGGGAACTCTTATCTCTTTAATATCTTACCTCTTTAAGCAGAGCTCACATGAGGCCTTTTCAATGGACTTTGAGTGACCAATGAAATATCTCCCATGATCCTCTGTCTTCTCTTGTGATGCTGGATCATGCTAACACTACGGTTGGCATTCCATTGTTGCCCCCATGTCCAGGTTGGGGGTGCATCTCTGAGTGGCTCCACAGCATCAGGGATTTGGTCTGTGTACTTTCCACATCAGTATTGTGGATCACTTGGCTATGATCCAATCAGACAATTCTATGGTCATTTCCCATATCAATTGTCAGGATGGGACTTACTCCTGGGACCTTTGCTTCTGCACACTGGACTTTCTGTTTGGCCCACTCACATTAAGTTCATCTAACTACCTGTCATGCTTCAGGGGCTTTGAACTTGGTAGCAGATTGCCCTTCTTGACTAGACAGGGTTTTTACTATGGAGAGGTCACTCCATTGTCAAATCTTTTGTTGGTTCTGTTCCCAGTTAAGCTACTTCCCTCAATCTGCATCGAGTCAGGTAATGGAAAATATTAAACCCATCTAAGGTTTTATATATCAGACCGTACCTTCCATGGACTAATATGGAAAAAGCCAGTACTAGGGAAGTGTCTGCCCATTCATTTGGTTCATGCATACCGGATTTTGTGGTTACTCGTTGCACTTTCTCCAGTAAATCAATTTTATTTTTGGATCCGATTGGGTCAGTGCACCTTTCCGGTCTCTCCACCTGTAGTCTTCAAGTGTAAAATGTAGTGACAGTGCACTCATTTTCTGGTTAAGAGCTGATTTTCGTAGATTAACTGTTTCCAGACAAGTCATGGTTCAAAGGCCATGTCATCGCATTTCTTGACTCGCATTCAAAATTTTATTGAAGTACTATTTCATAAATTTATGTCATTAAGTTTGGTATCAAACTGTAGATTATAATTCAAATTTTAGTGTTATACATTATTAAATTTCTTAACTTAAAAGTAAATATTAATGAGACACATTAAAATCAATTTTTGTGTGTCATGTGGTATGTTGAATGTAGCACTGGTTCAAATTAGATGTTTTTGAAGTCAAGATACTAAGTCTACAGTTTCGTACGAATTAGAATCTCAAATTACAGATATTGGCAAGCTAGAATATAAAACAAGAACCTCATTTCTTTTCTATTTGCTGAGATATTGCTCATGTACTGAATCAAACACAGTGGCCCCACTCACCTCTATCCATTTTTGGAAATGATCCCTTATATATGACATGTGAATAACCAATCAGAAGCTCAGAATGCCCCCTAGTGGCTTTCTCAGCCATTTTCAAGTGTTAGGATATCATCTTGTTCTTTCAAACCAAGATTTCAAGGAGGTAGGTAGTGTTTGCTCGATATTTCATATTTTTTTACACCCAAATATAGCTTATTTACTAAGCTTGATATATTATAGTGGAATTCTATGGTATCAACATAGTAATTTATGATTTTTCGGTTATTCAACTGTATATATAAAACCAAATTATTTTGTCTTGTATCCTCCACGTGCAAAATTTTAAAAGGCTTAGAAACCTATGTTAAGCAGCAACTGGGTACAAAGTGCATAACTAGAAGAGATAATTGTTCACTTTATTTCGTTATTTACTGTTCTATGTTTTAAGAAAAATATGTTTAAGAACTTATTTCTAAATAGTAATAATCTATATACATATATAATGTATAACAAATGAAATGTGACTGTATTTTACAAAATACTAGTCTACTAAAACACAGCCAAGACAGGTCACTTTGTAAAGACTAAAGTATCAGTTTTATATTATTGGATACAGTAACATGAGTGCATGTGTGCCAAATCATTGGAACTTCTGTATTGTTAGTCAGGCATGGCTGAAAGGTCAATATATATAATAAAAT